TGGCTGGGGAGAGGGAGGTCTGGGCCTCTCTGCTTAGGCTGCTGCCCCCACGACCCGGCCTCGGATAAAGAGGATGAAGATGGATGGATGGATGAAAACTGACTGACTTGGAGTGAAGGAAAGAGAAAGTGTCTGGAGCACTGCAACGGGAAAGGTAGAAAATGCATTAATCATACCAACACACACACACACACACACATGCAATGAAGATCAGATAATATTTTTTATTATTATCATCTTGTCAGGTTGACTTAGTGGGTTAAGAATTTACATATAGACTAGTTGACTGTTATTATATCAGGGAAAGATTACTTTATTATAACACAAGTGAATGGAATGATGCGGAGGGTTAAATGAGTGGAGACTCCAACAGACTCAGTTTCCTGTTTCTGACATATGGGTGAAGCTTGCACCTAGACACACACACACCTGATTGTATGGGAACAAACTCACTTTGTAAAATACATGTCAGCATTTCTCATATTTTCATTTTAGGGATAAAAAAAGAAAAGCTAAATAAAATGATTGTGTCTGTGAGTGCACCAGTGCAAACATTGGGAAGAAATTCACATTCCAGGGATAAAACACTGCAACGAGGTGTTTAGGAAGCATCTAATAACAAACAGTGCTGTGCGAATGCTAAAAACTTTTGTGTATTCAGCAGGTGGAACCATGTCAGGTGACCCAGGTGACCCCGGACTCTCCAGATTAGAATAAATATGATGTGGAGGTAGTGTCTCCTGAGTCTGACCAAGTAAGCATAAGTAACCAGTAAATGCCAGAAACAGTGTAAAATGTGTATAAAAGTGTTAAAGAAAATGTACTGTATTGAAACCAGTTTGCTAAAGCATATAGTTAGGGCCAGATCAGGTGACCCTGAATCCTCCCAAAGTTATGCTGCAATGGGTGTAAGCTGCTGGGGGATTCCCATGATGCATTGAGTATTTCTTCTTCAGTCACGTTTCTCACACAGTATCTGTTAACAGACCTCTCTGCACCTCATACTTGTTATTAATCTCCGTCTCTCTTTCACCGCATGTCTTTTATCCTGTCTTCCTTCTCTCAACTCAACCAGTCATAGCAGATGGCTCCGCCCCTCCCTGAGCCTGGTTCTGCCGGAGGTTTCCTCCTGTTAAAAGGAGGAGCCAGGATTTAAACAGACTTAACCCACATTAAGTCTGTTTAACTTAAGAAACCCACCTTGACCTTACCTCCTAACACAGATTTAGAGGCCTGTAGAGAAGCTATTCCAGAGGAGAAGCCCTGATATTGCCCAAGATATGGTGTATCTAACTTTTCTTTATTCTCTTGGTGATTTGGTGATGGTAAATTGAGGCATGGGAGGGACAAGACGTGTGTCAAAAGGAGGGATTCCAGGTTTACTCAAAAACTGTTTTGCGATTTAAAAAACCCCCATTGTTCTATTGATTTGTGTCACTAATAATTCATATACAGGTGGTACATCCACGCTGAGATAAGTCTTTTGATAACCTATAGGTTAAGTTCACTGAGTGAGGTAAGGGGTGAAAAGAGCGCCCTCCTCCAACTCATTGACTGGAGGGAATTCACCAAGTTGGACTCTGTGTCACCTACGACGGATCAGCGATGGAACACAGATAGCACCTGATTAAAGAGCCGGGCTAGTTTTGTCTGAAAAGGTTCAGTATGTTTTAAGTTATGGTAGTCTTGGTGTGATGTTTCTAATTGTTTTACAAATGATAAACATTGACATGACTCTCCAAACATCACAAACACAGTGAAGGTGGATGTAAATTTCTAAGTTTCAAACTCTTCCCGACTCCTGATCCTGATTAAAAGTGACTGAGTAATTATAGCATGCAAATTTCAAAGCTACTTGATTTTCTAGGGTAGCTTTTCTAGCATGCCAGTTCCTGATACGTAAGTGCATTCGATCCTCATTATCGTAGTAAACATAGCAACAACAGCTGTAAGTTCCTTTGGCATATTTATTGAATTCTGACACATTATTTGATCCCCTTAAAGTACAAACCAGATTGCAAAAAAGTTGGGACACTAAACAAATTGTGAATAAAAACTGAATGCAATGATGTGGAGATGGCAAATGTCAATATTTTATTCATAATAGAACGTAGATGACAGATCAAAAGTTTAATCCAAGAAAATGTATAATTTCAAAGGAAAAATATGTTGATTCAAAATTACACGGTGTCAACAAATCCCAAAAAAGTTGGGACAAGTAGCAATAAGAGGCTGGAAAAAGTAAATTTGAGCATAACGAAGAGCTGGAAGAC